AGTTGAAGTCCACACATCTTCAAGTTGCCAAGGTTGAGAAACGCTGCATTAGGAGTAGCAGCAGTCTCCCTGGCTGCTGTTTCAGAATGAAGGCACACCTCCCACCAGAAAACATCACTCCAAAGCCTTATTCTCCCCTCTCCCTCCTCAAATTCTGGGCAACAGGTCTCTTGAGAAGTTTTAGATTACATGCACACCTCTTTCCTGTGCCAAATTCAGTCTTCTCAGCAGTTTCAAACACTTTTAAGACACTATTGAATAGTCTGTTGAGACATTTACCAATCTTCCAGTAAAAATAAGTTTCCAAGCAAAGCTCTGCATTCGTTTGCATGTAATACTAACAACATGTGCGGCACTAAATACAGTGGATTTTGGTGTAAAAACAGCTGGTTTAAAAAACATTTCAGATTGTTGTCGTCATAATTTATGTCCCACTAACTGATATTGTCAGTTAGTGGGACGTAAAACGAATAATTTTTAATCTATGTTTACTAAGTATGTCTCCGATAAACATTCTAAATCAGAGTCCAATCGGTTTAAGGCATTGTGTTCTCCAGAAAAGTTTTGGATTCAAAAGTTTCTGAACACAGCCAGCCTATGGTTTGATTACTAAGGGATTAAAAGCTCCATGGAAGAATGGGAGCACAATGGATGGCAGAGAACTAGCAGAGGAATCCTGGTGTCAGTATGGCCAGAGCAGGACGGTCTTCCCTGAACTAGTATTGCACTATCAGAAATGGGGCAACCATAGGGTGACCCTCTGCAAATTGAAGTATTGTCAAATCCACAGGAGGAGATGGTGCTACTGGGCAAATCTTCTCACCGTTCCAAGAAGCCCTTCTTGGAAATCAAGTCACTCTACCCTTGCAAAGGTTTTTTCCAGTTAAGTCTGAAAAATCCTGTTCCCTTAGCAAACAGACTTGATAAAAAGGAAGTGTAATTTTAAGAAAGGAGGAATAAGGGAGAGAAATTTTCAGTAAGGGGACCATTACTGGGGGAAGTCTGGTCCCCTAAAAGGAGGGCTTTATCATGACAACCCACCTTTCCTTGCATTTAAATGTTAAACCATTTCACATCTTAAAGAAAAAATATCCAGATCTCCTATTCTTATAATTTCAAAGAGAGATAGGCTTTACACAATCTGCATATCTGCACCCATCTAACAGATTATACAAATTTCACAGCTACACTTTCTTATTAGAACTAAAAACAGCAGCCTTCTGTTCTGCAAACTGCATCAATCTTTTTTTTTTAAAAAAAGGGCAAAAGGCCCCTTGCAGAGTTTGCCATCTTACAAAGTGTTCCAAGGAAGAAGACTGCTTGCAAATCTAATAACAAATGTAGACCCTGTGCCATGACCCCACCTTTGCTAAAGGGAGGGGGGAAGCACAAAAGCCATCACATCAGACAAAAAATATTAAATAAAATAAATTATTAAATGAAACAGAAGAAGTTGGCTGACTTACCACACTCCAAGGGTGCTTGGGATTTGAATGCAAGTAAGAGGCTGGTGTGCAAACAAATTTAGGAGCAACTTTAAGCAACCCCAAAAGGGGTACAGATGAATTTCACATAAGACTGTCTCGAAGTTCTGCCACACATTCAAATCCCCAGCAGCCTTTGTCTTGCAACCAGATCACCACTGGGTTTAGCAAGCAGACAAGCACAAGGCAGCTCTCACTGAGAGTTACTATAAAAGCAGGATCAATTAGTTTAACAAAAAAAAAAAAAGGAGATTCAAACAAGAATGATTTTACAGCAAAGAAGAAGGGGTTTCATTTTAAACAGGACTGTTTTTAGCAAAAAGATGCTTGTTCTTTGTGGCCAGCTCAGTTTTATCAGGCAATTCCATTGTCCAAGATTTTAGGGTGGCTTAGTCTCCATTCTGCCATACAATTTGCTTCCTGCTGCTTCATCCCAAAAGTCTCCCCGTTTAGAGTGAAGTTGAACACTGCTCATTTTAAAAGAAAAAGCAAAGAAAAACCCACAATCTTTAATCTCTTGACTGAATATTATACCCTAATCCCATCTAGGTAAAAAGTGCAGCATCATTTTCTACAGAGCTGGCAAGGGGCGCCATCATGCAAGCATTTCTCAGGTAAGAGCCCAAGGAAGGTCCTGGGAGGACTGCTGTGGTGAAGAAATCATGGGAACTTCTGCCCGGGCACAGGAGCTGAACCACAGAGGCCTTCACCCAGCAGGAGATGGTACAAGCAAGTCCTCGTTCCCTTCTCCTAGCAAGTAGAAATGAAAAAATCCTAATCTGGATCCAGAGTCTCATCCCTCCCCAGCAGAGCAGAAGAGTTTAGAAAAGGATATGTACCGTGTTATTTTTCTAAGGTACAAAGGGACATCTGAGCAGCATCTAGCTTTGAGGCACTGGGAAAGACAGCTACGGTGGGACTATTTGGGGAGAGGGGGAAGATACCAGTTCCTAGGGCACATTAAGCCAGCTGCCCAGAAGAGTCTTAAGAACAGAAGCTCTACATTTCAGACCAATATGTGGCTACTGAAGTCAGGAAAGGCAATATTCAAAGAGATCTGTTCTTTTTTTTAAAAAAGCCCCCAATGGATTTGGCATGAGGTGTCGATTAAAGGAAATGCTCCCGCTTCTCTTTCCAGTCACCAAGCGTTCACCATGAAGAGCAGAACTCTACGGTGTGAATTGGAGGAATCGGTTTTCAGCAGTGAAGAAAAAAGCTTCCATCTTCCTGCAAAGGGAACAGTACTTCCTGCGAGGGTCCCGCACTTTGAACTGAAAGCGCTGCTACAAGTTGACGTGGAACGATCATCCTGTTCTTCTGAAACCAAAAGACCTTGCAAAATTAAATTGGAGGACATCAGACAACTGGAGCCATCACCTAAATGGCAGATCCTCTCAATTCACTGACCAGCCTCTGCAGGAACTAAATGCTGACTGTGACACTGGGAAGCTAGCGAGAGCTGGTTTGGCTGGAATTGGAAGAGAAGCAAAGGAGGGCACAAAACACTTGTCTCCTCAGAGTGCCAGGAATCCATTTCTGTTCTCAATCCTCTACATGGACGCTGCCAGGGGGAGTCATTTCCCCACCCGGGATTCTGCAAGGACAGGAGGAAGTTTTTGGAAGTGCAACAATGAAGAAAGTAAAGAGGCGGGGACTTTGGCCCAGGTTCAATGTTCATTGTGACAGTTGATGTTGCTCTCAGAGTGTTCTAAGACATTGAGCATTTCCTCTATGATGGCCTGAAGTGCACGGCCCAGCTGTTCTGCACTGTAGGGTTTTCCCAAGGGAGGCACGTGGACAAATGCAGATCGGCCATGGCTCTGGTACAGGGAAGTGTAATACGTAAAGTCGCACAGATACCTGCAAGAAGAAAAGGGAGATTCAGCCTGGGAGGGGGGAGCAAATTTTATGAGCCTTATCATTTGAGAGCCCATACAAGTGCAATCAAACAAATTATGGCATTTTGTTCCTCTACTTTGTCCAACAGAAGAGAATGTTCTCTTCTGAACATTCAGAAGAGTTGAAGGGTTGAACTGTGGAGTTCTTGGTGCTCTCTGAGCTTGGTTGTTTGCTTGAAATTGTTTCATTAACCTGCTAGGTAACATCAAGTGCATCCATGAATGCCAACTAGCAGCCATAAGACATGACGAAAACGCCTTAATCTCACAACATATGAACAAACTCAAGCAGTTTCAACTGGGAAGTTATTAGCATCTTAGACCAAGCCAAATCCAAAAATGCTAGGGAATTCCTGGAAGCTTGGCATTTAGACAAATTGGCCGTCAATAGACACATAGAAATAAACCACATTTACACAGCATTCAAAAGAAACAATAAAAAACCTAGGAAGGAAACAAAAAGGCCAGACACATCCCCTCCAGCAGTCAACACTCAGACAAGCAGGGAACAACACCAGACAAACAATCAGGCAGAAAACAATACTCTAATTAAGAAACCAACACGGAGGAAATCACATCCACGCCAGAACTGGCAGGGCAAGCTACTATATATAAACAGGCAGCAAACCTCACACTCCCTCGCACTGATGACGTTACCTAGTTAGGTAATGAAATGTCTGCAACCAAACAACCAAGTTCAGAGAGCACCAAGGACTCCACAGTTCTCCGCTTTATTTTTAATATAGTACTGTATTTTGATTCTGCACGCTGCCCAGGGTGTCATGGCATGGCAGGTGGTATGTAAATACAGTAGAGTCTTGTTTAACCGACCTTCGCTTATCTGACATTCCGTCTTATCTGACACCCCTAAAAAAAACACAACACACATAAATCGGCGACGAAAAAAGTGTGCCGGTTGTTTGCGAGCGTGAGTGTACTCTTTCTTGTTGCTCCTGACGGTGCGGTGCTGCAACACAAAAATAGATTGCAACAGGCACAGCGGATCCGTTTTTTTTTTAACCACACTCAATCGTTACTGTGTGTTATCCAACATTTTCGCTTATCCGATGTTCTGCCGGCCCGTTTATGTCGAATAAGCAAGACTCTACTGTATTTGAAACAAAAAATAATCATTAAAATAAAGAGCTGTGGGTGACTGCAATCAACAATGTATAATACAGCGAGCACATTCCCAACCTTGATCAGGAATATCCTGACCCCCCCATTTCCCCTTCTTTTATCTCTCCCCACTTTTTGCCATGTTATCTCTATCTAAGGTTGCCCTCCAACCAGAATTTGCAACAGGCATGGTTCTTTTTCATCCACTGTTTAGCAGCTGTTAGCACTCATACCAATGTGAAACAAAGCCTAAGGATCTTTTTAACTGTATTTATTCAGGTCAAGATCCTATCTTCTACACAGATATAGGGTCAAATGTGAAAACAACACATTTTGATCCAGAAGGGGCTCCACCATGTATTCAAGGAAGACAAATTTCTATTCTGAAACAGACTCAGGGACAGTTGCATATCCATCCTTCATAATAATCTAGGAAACTGTCTTATTAACCCCTTTCCCATCTACTCCAGTATTACCTCCACAGGCTAACTTGAAACCCTAAAAGCTGCATGACATTCCTCAAAACCTTGGAAGCAACCTCTGGAATTACTCTTCAAGTGGCTGCCAAATTATAACCTTTAATATATTGGAAGGGGAAATGATTAAATACATGGGGAGTAAACATGCTAGCTGTATCTAATTAACCTTAATTGCTCTTACATTAAAATCACTCTGATTTTAATTTTTGCCCTTGGTTTCTCCGTGGCCATGCACATCCAGAGCCCCCTAAGAGCTGTTCACCTGCCACGGGCAGCACTCTACAGGGTTTCAAGCCACGTCAGAAAAATGCCATACCATGAATGGGACTTCCCATGTGTCAGGTCTGTGCTCTGGTGCTAATTATGCCCTTTCCTTTATTCCAGGCTTAAGTGCTAACACAGGCAACAGATATAGTGATACACAAAATGGTTCACATTTGAAACAGTTCCAGCTTGAAACACCCTCTTTCAAGTCTGAAATGCCCCACTTCGAATCTGAAACAACTGCTCTGACCTCTCCAGAAAGGTTCTATCCTAAGTGTTCTGTGTGCCTCAAAGCATCTCCCTCCACCCCACTTTGTCTGTACACTTCTCATTCCTCTTGTCCTCTCCTCTTCACTTCCTCCTCGTACCTTCCAGCATCTTCTGATATTGTGACGGTGACATCCAGTCCTAACGCAGAGACTCTCTTGCACACGGCGTCCATGTCGATGATCGAATCAATGCATTCTGGGCCCCCTTCAATACAGCATTCAGAACCTGGGCAGAAGTGGCAGTTGTCCAAGCCCCGGTAGCCCACGTTGTGGCCGCATTTTTCCAACGTCACCGTTGTGGCCATGCCAGACAGCCCCACGTGAACTACAAGCTGTTTTGAAAACAAGTCAAAAGCGTTCTGGTGTAGAAGCGGAAGCAGGTTCATGAAACTAGCACAGTTCAGAGCTAAACTAGCAACCTGAGGTCAATGGGCCCTTAAATCTTTCCAGATAACTCCTGGAGTGTGCATTCCTCTCATCTGGAAGAGGGAAATGCATAAACCACAGTGCATGTCCTTAAAGAAACAGACCTTGGTTAAAAAATAAAATAAAATAAAAATAAACCTCCCTCTAAAACCAAGAAAATATAGCCACCCCATATAAGCGTGTCATTAACCCCCCTTTGCAGTATTTCTGTTGGATTCTGCCTTTCTAAAAAAAAGGAAGGGGGACCATGGCCCGAAGCCACTAAAACAAGGTACCCACCCTGGCCTTTAGAGACCCAGTTTATGATCACTGGGAAATGCAACCATAACACACTTGTTCTTCCCTATTTTGAGGTGTATTTGGATCTGAAGTCCATTCAAAATACTTCTATTATCCCTTGAAGCCCTAACTAGCTTGAGTCAGAAGACCCGAAGGTTCACACCCTTCATATATATTTACCCAGCGCCTAAAATTATCCTCAGACACCCTTTCTAGAAAAGATTACCTTAGTCCCCAGGCTGCTTCCTTTGAGTGCTAGATACCTTATTTATCTGTTTGTTGATTTATTTCTCCAGGGATTCTAAATTTAAACGTGTTTATCTGTTGTTCTATTATATTCAGTTTTGCTGTTGTGGGTCTCATTTACTGTAGTTTTATAGTATATTCAGGTTTAGGGTGGTTCAATGTCTTGTTCTGTTAAGGTTTACAAATTTTGCTGTTTTGGGTGGTGGTATGCGAACGCTGCAAGCAAGCAAAGTCATATGCAGAATGCTGCTTGGGTGCTGGACCTACTGGAGAAGAGATCTGTAGCTGAGCAGCTGGTAGACCCACAGGGCTAAATCAGATCCAGAAGCCAAAAAGTAAAATGGAACAGGATTTGCCACCTATCACTCCTGGTCCCAGCTCTGAAGCCAACTGAGAATGGAGGATCCTTTTAGGCATAATGGCTAATAGCTACCAACAGATCCCTCTTCCTATCGTTTTGGTCTCATTTCTCTTAAAATCATCTAAGGTAGCAGCCACCACCAAATCCTAAACTGCTTTCTAAAATAGGCACAACACAAGAGCAAAGACCCTTCCCCAAATCCAGGGAGGGGGTGGTGGTGGCAGAACCCAGCTACGTCCACTGCAATGCTTAACTCTTTCCCCCAACCCAAAAAGGAGCTGTCCTTGGTCACCAAAAGATAGCTGCTCTCCGCGCATTGTCAGAATGGGAGGGAGAAAGCAGAACATGTCCACCCCGGAGGAATGAGTCAGGAAAAACAGGAAACCTGCCCCCATCTTCTGCTGGGTTGGAGAGGCCAGAGCAGTTCCTCCAACGAGGGTTCTCCTCCCTTGTCCCCTAGGACTGTCACTCATCTCAAAACCAGGATTTGCAAACAGCATGAGCCAGTTTCCTGACACCAGTCTTCCTCAACCTAATAGCCATTCTCACTTCCTTTTACTCACTTGCGGGCTGTGTTTCTTCCATAAGGCAGGAATAAGTCTTTGCACAGCCTGGTACTCAACAGGAATTTCATAGACATGTAGATCCACATCCTCTCCGAGGCCCATTTTCTCCAATTCCTGAAAAGAGGAAAAAGGCTTCAAAATAAGTTGTCATCTAGTAGGATCAGTAGCTGCCCCAGCCCTTTGGAATAAACCCCCCACCTGAGATTTGGGGGGGAGAGGCTACCCTTTTAGCCTTCCAGAAGGCTGTGAAGACCTGGCTCTTCCCCCAAGCACTGGGCTAGGATGGGTTGAGTCAGGGGTGAACAGTACAGATGGCTCTGTTGCCTTGCTGGGAAGGATATGATGCATTTTTATGTTGTTTTTTTAATTGGTTGCTGTGAGCCACCTAGGATCACTCTGTGATCAGTGCTCTGATGATGTTACCTAGTTGGATAATGAAACATCTGCAATCAAACAACCAAGCTCAGAGAGCACCAAGGACTCCACAGAACTAACAATATTGAGTGGCAGTCTACCTCTAAATATCAAATGCTGAGCAGTAAACCATGAGAGGGCTTTGTGTCCTGATTATGCACTTCCTAGTCTCAGCAGGTGACACTCCCTAAATATGGCTCAGCCCGGTTAGGATTTGGATAGGAGACACCCAGGAAAGAACAGGGCTATAGATTAGAACCAGGAAGTCAAAGAAGCTGTTTCCATAGAAAAGAAAATGTTCTTTTGCCAAGAAAACTACATGAGCATGTCTGTGAAGTCACTAGGATTCACTCTCAGTTCAAGGGAGACTTTAATTTTTCCTATCCCAAAGGCACTCACAGCAGTGCAAAAAAAATCTAGCATAGTTAAGTATAGCAAGAAAGGTTTGAAATAAGGATTATCTTCCCTCTCTCCCTCCCATTAAAGAAATATTTCTTTATTAGTCATGCAGACTGTGACTAATTAACAAGGAAATCAAAAGAATTTGCAGACAAGCAAATAATAATGTTTTGGAAAGAAAGGGCTACTTTGGAATGGACAACATCTGGCTTATGATGTGGATAGGGTTTGAAACCAAGACATCTGGAGGGTACCTGATAGTGAAGGCTAAGTTACAGTCCAACAAGAAACATCTCTACTGCCTTTGAGGTTCTAACCCCCATATGGATTTTGTTGTCCGGGGTGCTCTAGAGATGGCCATAAAGATCCTCTGGTCTGGATTATATTACTTGTGGAAATCAGATAGATAGATAGATAGATAGATAGATAGATAGATAGATAGATAGATAGATAGA